AAAAAAGTAGAAGAAATGTTAGTTTATCTTGAGTAATTTTTGCTTATTAGTAGGATTCGGTCCAGAACTACAAACACGAATAAAACGCGTTAGAAAAACTACAAACGTGGCAGATGCGCACGATTGAAGGTTAGGTAGAGAGGCTTAGAAAAAGGGGTTTGAGTTACTAATAATCAACATTTAACTAACACACTTTATAAGCCATGGACTTCCTCTTTCAAATCGCCGAGTATTGTTTGCATTTATCTCTCTGTCAGTGATAGCAACATTACGGAGCCAGTTCCCGGTCCTAGTTCTGAGCTCCTAGTTCTAGCCTAAGTCTAATCACGTCTTGTTTCCTGATTGCCTGTTTCCTGATTATTTAGCCTGTCTGTTGGATTACCCGTTTGCTTCGCCCTCTGGATTATGTTCGCCGTCGTTTGACCCACGCCTGTCCTTGGATTACTCTTTTGTTGTGTCTACAACATACCTGTTTGCCATTGTCTAACCCTCGCCTGTTTCATGACCACATATTTAAATAAAACTCTGCATATGGATCCATATGTTTCACATTCTGATTACTCCATTACAGTATATATGTATACAGTATATAATTTTTCCAGGTCTGAAAGACATTTTCTGAATATGCTACTCAATTACACTATACTAGTAGCACTTGTTAATAGTATAATATAAAATAATAATTGTATAAAATAAAATATTCTATATATTATATGAATAGAAATTACTTTACCCGCATTTACCAAGATGGACAACGAGTCATTTACAGCAGCTTATACTTGCCAGTTTGTGTACTGCAGATATCGTTGGTTCACATCAAATTGCTTGTGATGTTTTTCAAGTCCCTGGGTAAAACCATCTCATAAACGAATAATAATAATAATAATAATAATAATAATTGCAAAGGTAAATAAATAAACAATAAAAGACTACAATGAGCAAAAAAATAAATAAAAAAGGATGGCGGGGATTGCAAATGAACTCTAGTTCGGACCAAGTGTGAAAACAACCTTGGTGTAGCCTACACTTCCCATCTACTGGGAGGGTAAACAAATACATACAGCTCCCGTCTTTGTGGTCTGCAGCCACAGCGACTTCCGGGCAGCTGAGGATCCTGTCAACTGCAGGTGACTTTCTGTGCTCCTTGTTTTGCCTGGCCCCTCCGTCCTCCTGCTGTGACCTCAGCACATGTTTCTGGCACGTTAGAGATGCTTTCTCTCTGATTAGGGTAATTACAAACCATCTCTGCTCTCTCAGCTCCTCAAACCCCACTTCAGAGCGTATTCATCCATTTGTCTTAAAGTAATTAAATCCATGGGGGAGGGGAGGCGCGGCGTGGCTGGGCACCTCATTTCAGGAGCTATTAAGTAGCGACTGCGCTATTCGCTAGCACTTTTATTACTGTGCTCGTTAATCTCAGAGCCCTTCCGCTCCGTGGAATAGCTGCCATTGTGGTAATCACAATAAATCACACCAACAACTGCTGTGGCCCAACCGTGGTGCAAAGGAAGAGTAAATGCAAGGAATGTTGTACACTTCATCCACTCAACTGTCGCAGCTTTAATTACGTAGTGAAGGGGGAGGGGCTATCAGACTCTGATTATGATTGACAAAATAACCTTATATAATTCATACATTACATGGTTGAGAACATAGTGCATAAGTACATAGTGTATAATTGCATAGTGTATAGTGCGTCATTTGGGACGCAGCTTCAGTATTATCCGAAAAAGACGAACATGAATCATCCAGTTTGTGGTGCAAAAAGCATTTCAGTTTAGTCAGATCAGATGAAAGTGAATCTGGCAATGCATTATTACGTTGATTGTTGTACATATTGCCATGGTTTGGAAATAAAATGTCTGATGAGTGGTGCTTGAAGGATAATTGCTTTTGAAAATAACATATTAAACCTCACTGATCATGTTAACAAAAGCAAATGTGAGATAAAAACATATTCAATGAAGCAACCAAGCCAGTTTAGCTGGCTTCTACTAGTCTTTGAGTTCTTATCATGACTTGTTTCACGAGACTTGTACCCACACACTTCACATCGCTAATTCACAGTGCTGTACCAGATGAGCTACTGAGCAAGTTTATAATGTCAGAAAAGTCAAACATATGGAGTTGGTTAAGGGATGAAAATGCCGAAATGTATTAGTTTTCAAATAATGCACTATGGCAAAAGTGTTTTGAGGACATAACATAGTATATGTAAGGGATAATTGATGACGGGCTGTTGAATTATTAGAAAATGATTCACACCCGAGGTGGTGATCTGGCCATGATGCAAAGCGGAGTGGGCATTACACCTCTGGTTTGCATTATTTTCTAATAATTCAATGGACCGGAGTTAATTATTCCACTTATACTACACTTACCACACCTCAAATATTGTTCAAATGGTGTATTTCAAAACATTTGTCAGGTTTTTGTCCTTGAAACTCTCTTTTGAGTAGGATTAATTTCTTACAAATCTCATCCCATGCCTCTGCTGCTAATTCCAAAAAGTCATTGAAAGCCATTGAAAGCAGTTTAATGTAGTAAATAATGAAGTTATTAGACAGAGAGAGAGAGGGATTAAGCGGGTGAGAATTACCTGAGTCTGTGCATCTCTCGACAGTGTTCGGCAGTAGCTTCTCTACTAACAGCGAAAATGTAAGTTAATCTGTGTCAAGAACAGTGCCGTATTACCTCGCTTGTGAGAAATAACATGTAGCTTTGAAATTAAGCTATTTTACTGATAAAATTGTCAGAGCAGTGCTGACAACACGTTTCTGTGAGTTGTGAGTGTGTATGTTTCCGTGTGTGCGAGTGTGTGTTTGTATTGTATGTGTGTGCATTTGAGTCGGAGAGAGAGCGGGATAAAGAGTAGAAAGTTTTCTAAGCTTATCTATGCTTTTGGTGATCGGCTGGAGTCTTTGTGAATTTTCTGGTCTCTTACAGGCCTCTATTGAGCTACAATAATCATAAATCTTCCACAGAAAGCTGCTGTTGCATACTGCACAGTCCAACTAAGCTGACATAAATGAGACCATATGCAGTGATATTCTTTCCCACCCAATGGCCCTAATGAAGCTCTTTTTATTTCAGTCTTTGTGTGATACAGCAATAACACAAACGGCACCTTGGCGGTGTGGAAAAGCTTCACTGCTATTAACATATCTGTAGCTTGATGTATGACTCCTTATGGAGGAGTATCACGGCACAGTGAATGTAAGCAAAAAAATAAGCTGGCTCAGGTCCTTCTCTAGTTAACTGGAGTTAATCTCTCAAACACAGCATTATAATTACAGCGAAACGTAATGCACAGCATGTTCCGCTTCCTGTGCTAGAATGCATGCTTGCGTGTTGAGCACCGTTGTGTTGATTGATGTTTGGGGAAGCCAGTGTCAAGAAGTGTTTATTTCACAAGTGGTGGGCTCTCTGACAGTCCTTTCATATGAATGTGTGATATGCAGCCGAGACAAAATTCAGAGCAGCCCTGCACAACTACACAGATCCCCTTTGAAACGCTGTAACCCAACAAGTGCAGGCACCGTGGGCCTCAAGAGCGATATGGCAAGCCTTTGTTCTGCTGGAGCGAGGCTTGACATGCTATTAGTCACCAGCAGGTCAACAGAGACACACCGAGCAAGAGGGACACATTTTTCCAACACATTAGACCAGACTGAAAAGAAGAGTGCAAAGAGTTCAGACACTGAAAGAAGATACAGAAAGAGAGAGCGAGAGTGCATGCTATCTAAAGTTAAATATCTATATAGACAATGTCAGTTTTATAGGAAGAGTGAATGTCATAGAAACATGTCCAGGGGTGTATTCCAGAAAGAGGGATTTGTTGGAAACTCAGAGTTTGTTAACCCCAGAAAAGGGAAACTCAGGGTTTTCGGTTCCAGTAAAAGACAAAACTAAACCTCTCGGTAAGTTACCATAGTAACTTACTCTGTGAACCTAACCTGGGGTGCGTTTCCCAAAAGCATCGTTAGCTAACTGTGGTGGTTCGTTCCATTGAACTCTATTGGTAACGACGGAACTTGCGACCATAGTTGCTTTTGGGAAACGCACCCCTGGTCAGGAGAAGGTTTTCTTCAGTAAACCCAGAGTTTATTTCGGTCTCCTCCTTCTTTTTAAAGCGTAAGCAATGTTTAAATAACTCACTCATTCATTCGCGCTACAAAAATAGCTTTTATTGCTGGGACTTTTGCCTTATTTCAAGTACAAATATCTAAACATTTTTAAATCATGATGCATTTTCTATAAAAGAAAAATATATACGATATTTAGTCTTGTTTCTTGGGGTAAACAAGTAAAATTAATTGCCAGCGGGGTAAGAAAAATAATCTTAATGAAAATGTAAACAAGATTATTTTTCTCACCGGACCACTTTCATTTTCAAAATGCAGACACGGTAAATGTGACAACAATGGCATGTCTTTTTATAAGGGATCCTGTAGATGAGGAGGCTGCATTAATTAGAGGGGAGTTACATTTACATCAGGAGAGGATTTAATTTAATTTGATCTAATTTATTTATTTTGCCATATCCACATGCATATTTATTTGAACGGTACCATTTTTAAATGGTGTTCACTTGACAACATCTTGTTGCGACCTCTAAGTACGAGCCAATGCACATTGGCATGCGATTATTGCATCCAGTTGCCGCTGATCACAGCGTGAGTATAAGTAGGCAGCCGGTGGAGCGCATATTCAGGTTTTCACTGAGGAGCCAAGCCGGTGACCCGGCCGCTCAGTGGTGGTACAGAAGCTGTGGCGACGGGACGTGACATCTCCGTGTCAGCGCTTGCAGGTTCACCACCTGATCCCTGAAGGGAGTAGTAGGAACCTTGGGCACATAGCCGGGCCGGGGCCTCAGGATTACCTGGAAGTCAGCCGGCCCGAACTCTAGGCACGAATCGTCAACCGAAAATGTGTGCAGGTCCCCTACCCTCTTGATGGATGCCAATGCAAGCAGGAGCAGAGTTTTCATTGACAGAAACTTCAGCTCGACTGTCTGCAAAGGCTCAAATGTGCCCTGCTGTAGCGCTCTGAGCACTAGAGACAGGTCCCATGAAGGTATGGAGGGAGGCAGTGGAGGATTTAACCTTCTCGCCCCCCTAAGGAACCTGATGATCAGGTCATGCTTCCCCACCAACTTCCCTTCGACGGGGTCGTGGTTGGCAGCATTCGCAGCCACGTAGACTTTAAGGGTGGAGAGAGGGTAGGTCACCTAGAACCTCCGCATCCCATCCAGGGACCAGACATAAAGTTTCCAGAGGTCTGGACACGGGTGCCACAAGCTGTCACGGAGGGGCTGTCACAAGGAGCATCATTTCCGAGAACCAAGTCCGAGTGGGCCAGTAAGGCGCCACGAGCAGGACCTGCTCCTCGTACTCCCTGATCTTGCACAGTGTCTGTGCAAGAAGGCTCACTGGGGGAAAGCATACTTGCGCAGGACCCGTCCGTGCCGAGTGTTCACTCGGTCAGGGAGTAGAACAACTGGCAGTGAGAGGTTTCTGGAGAGGCAAACAGGTCTACCTGAGCGGCTCCGAAACGACTCCAAATCAGCTGGACCATCTGGGGATGGAGTCTCCATTCTACCGGGAGTGCAGCTCGTGACAGCTCGTCGGCTGCCCGGTTGTGAGGACCAGGAATGTGAACAGCATGCGACCTCAGATGCTTCTGACTCCAAAGGAGGAGGTGGTGGGCGAGTTGCGACATGCGACGGGAGCGTAGACCACCTTGTCGGTTGATGTACGTAACGGTCGCAGTGTTGTCCGTACGGACCAGAACGTCCTTGCCTCGTAAGCACCCTTTGACACGGATCTAGGCAAGGCGCACTGCCAGCAACTCTAGGCAATTGATGTGCCAGTGCAATTGGGGGCCTGTCCAAACCCCCGACACTGCAAGCCCGTCGAACGTGGGCCCCCAGCCGGTGGTAGAGGCATCTGAGTGAACCACAGCATGCCTGGAGACCTTTTCCAGGGGCACTCCTGCCCGGAGAAACGCAAGGTCTGACCACGTGGTGAAGGTTTGTCGGCAGGCCGGTGTGACTCGGACCCAGTGAGTGCCGCTTAGCCACAACCACCTCAGGACTCGGCCATGAAGCCAGTGTTAAAGCGGTCTCATATGAAGCATGACGGCGTGATTGCCACTGCAGCTGCCATATGCCACAGGAGCCTCTGAAACTGTTTCAGTGGGACCGCCGTCCTGCCCTTGAACATATTCAGGCAGTTCAACACCGACTGAGCACGTAATTGCATGAGGCGTGCTCGACCGAATCCAACTCCATACCGAGAAAAGAGATCCTCTTTAGAACTTCCGGATCGTGACCACCCTCGTGCAGGTCCCTCAGTGCTTTAGCCTGGAGAATCTACAGTAACGCTGTAGCGTGTAAGGCGGAGGCAGCTTCTCCACAGGCCGTATATGCATCGCTGGACAGACCAGACGAGTACCTACAGACCCGGGAGGGAAGGCATGGTTTGCCCTGCCGGGTGGAGGCGGTATCAGGACACAACTGCATCGGCCGTATAAGCATCGCCTGACAGACCAGACGAGTACCTACAGACCCTGGAGGGAAGGCACGGTTCGCCCTTCCGGGTGGAGGCGGTATCAGGACACAACTGCATCGCAACCAACCGCTCCACCGGGGGACCCCCGTATACCCCCTAGCTGCACCACCGTCAAGAGTGGTGAGGGAGGAGGGGTTATCAGGTCGGTTTCCGGCAGAAAAAGGTGCCATCCACAACCTGGTAAGCCCCTCATGCACCTCCGGGAAGAATAGGACCGGGTCGGGGCGCTGAGAACCAGCGTGGACCACCCCAAGAACCAATCGTCCAACCTTGAGCGCTCGGGACACGGTGGAGGTCTCCACTCGAGCCCTACTCTCACGGTGGCCCGGGAAAAGCATAGCCGTTATTTCCGGATCTGATTTAGGCATTGATTACAGTCCTGGAGGATAGCAGCGCAGCCAAATCTTCCTCTCCAGAAAGCTCTGGCTCACCCTCCGATGCAGCTATCGACATCCGGTCGTCGGGAGGAGCGCCAACGGATACTGCTGGTACGCTCCTTGTAGAGGGCCCAGCACGTTCCATTGGCAGCTCAACTGGTTGCGGAGTGCAAGAGGAGCGATGGTCCCCCGAGGGTTGGTTCCCTGGAGGGTTTGCCATCACTGTTACCCTCAGACTGCCCGTGCTACTGCCTAAAGTAGCCCCCGCCTGACTGTTTTAGTTTACACTCAAAGTAGATTGGTCTCTCTAAGCGAGATCTCAATTCGTCGGTCATCCGACGTGACGTCGAGAGTAACCGAATGAAAGGGAACCTAATAATTAAAATTTCCTTTATGATTTCCAGTGTGGTTGGATGCATTGATTACACACATATTCTCACCATCGCACCTTCCGAAAATGAAGCTGATTACTGTATGGAATGGAAGGATGCCAGATGGAAGGGTAGTGCAAGGTATCTATGCCGTAATCACCACCACAGTTGTTAAATAAACACAAATTATTCACAATTCACAACATAATCTTTATGTTCTACAAATACAAAAGCAACAAATTATTATTTTCCCTGTTGGATTTTAATATTGGTATTGTGGCCATCTCCTCTTCCTCTGTCAGTGGTGCTGGTGCTGGTGTAGGTTCTCCTCCCATTTTACGAGTCTCTGCCTTCTTGCTGTTGGCTTCTGAATAGAAGTCAAATGTTTTCCATTGCCCTAATTAAGAAATGTAGCATGTTGGATTAGAGAACATTTATTTATGTGAAAAAGCATTAGGCTATGTGGAAAAAGCTGCTGCACATTGACATAGATATACACTGAAAGATATTTATTGAATGTCACATATTTGTAAAGTCATGTAACGTTAGCCTGCACACCCATTTTACGCCTGCAGCTTTACCTGATTAAATGTTTTTATGTTTAATTTTTTCTGCTGCCACATTTTTTTTTCTTTTCTTTTTTTTTTTTGCCCGTGGGATACCATGAAAATGAATATTAGTTCAGTAAATTCTGCCAGTTTTCACCTCTGATAACATTGATTTAGAATTAAAGTTATGTATTCCGTAGTATGCAGAAGTCTTTTTGGCGGAAGCTGTTGCCATGGTGAATCGTAATTTCGGAGCTCCATTGAGCATGGCTTTTCATAGTCATGGTGCACGTGCTAAACTCAGAGTCAACCTACTCAGAGTGGATTGAACTAACTCTGTTCAGCTGTTCAAGAAACCTTGCTTACTCGAGGTATGTGGTTCCAAAAACACGTCTGGGAGTAAGTTCATTCAACTCCGAGTATGTTCCTGGTTAAGACTCAAGACATTCTCAACAGAGCAACGAATCGATGAGTCACTATGGAAACTAATAGTGTTTTATAATTTATACAGATAACTGATATGCCAATAAAATAAATATAATAACCATATTAGAATAATATTACCTTATTTACTTATATTAGCGATTTATAATTAACATATCATACAACTATATATATATATATATATAGTAGGCTATATTACATAAATATATTGTAATATTATATAATGTTGTGCTCTATCTGTCACGCCAACTGAAGGCTCGTCAGTAGGTCACGCGTGTGCTGTTGGCTCTGAAGTGAACAAACCCTGGAACAAACCCTTCAGATCTTCAGAGAGCAAGTTACTATGGTTACTTACATACCCTGAAAGTAACCTCCGATTTTGGAACCGAAAGCTGAGGTTATCCGCTCTCTTATCCTCAAACATACCCAGGTATGTCACATAACCTGCTTTCTGGAATACACCCCTGGTCACATCACACCCCAAAACACAAAGTAAACACACACATAGGCCTTTATTTGACATAAAGTAAATGAAACCGATTTTCATGACCATTAAGCACAATGCGTTTTTGTTTTTATATGTTAAAACTAAAGCAGTATAAAAATGTGTTGTGTCAGTTTATATAATAGTATATTTATACAATTTATATAATAATATAATACACACAACCTCCCACACACAAACACACACACACACACATATATATATATATATATATATATATATACACACATTAGCATACTACGGAATATTAACATATTAGCATTAGCATACTACGGCACATTAGATTTGCTAACATATGTGTTCACTGCTGTCTTAAAGCACAAGTCTATAAACAAATTAGTTTGAATGCTAGACAATGAATCCTCAGTGTCTTACACAAACAAGTTCAAAAAGAAAAATGTCATGTTTATTTTTGATCACATTTCCAGTAAAATTATGTTGGCTTAATAAACAACACATGCTTGAGTTTATACTGTATTATTTACACTAACAAACAAACACAAGTATGGTCTGACCATACTCATGATGTGAGTCAAAGTTTTAAGCGAACCCATTTGTACCGCTTGTACTGGTAATGCCTTTGCCCTTCAAAAAAAAAACCCTTCCAGATGGCACAAGTGTGTTTCTGTTTTTTTGCCATTGCTTGGGAAGCGTTGTCCAACATCTGTTCTTTGACTTCTGGTACATAACTCTGATACATGCAGTCACAGATTGAGCACCATTGGCGCACTGTGTGGTCTAAAGCTCAGGGGGCAGGATGCTTTTAATAAAACCTGACCCATCTGAACCCAGAACTTATTAAACCACGTGACAGTTATCTCAAACGTCATACAGGCCTCTCTGCTTTTTTTTGTACATGGAAAATTATGTATTGACTCTTTGTTGCAGTTTCAGTTAATTATGTGTCTTGTTTCCCATAAGAGCACCAATGTTTATGATATTAAAGTTTTTTTTTTTACACACACACACACACACACACACACACACACATTTGTGGTTTACGGGGACTCTCCATAGGTGTAATGGTTTTTATATTATATATATATATATATATTGTATTGCCAGTGTATTACGTGGTAAAAAATGTTACACACTATTGTTTGTAATTGTAAGTTTGGGGTCTGTAAGATTTTTACATTTAAAAAAAAGTATCATATATGCTCACAAAGGCTGCATTTATTTGTTAAAAAAGTGAAATATTATTAGTATTTTAAAAATAACTGTTTTCTATTTTAATATATTTGAAGATCTAATTAATTTATGATGTCAAAGCTCATTCTAATATGCTGCTCAAGAAACATTTCTTATTATCAATGTTGAAAAAAGTTTTGCTGCTTCATGTTTTTGCTTTAACATTATATATATATACAGTATGTATATATGTGTGTGTGACCCTGGAGCACAAAACCAGTCTTAAGTATATTTGTAGCAAATAGTTGTATCTTGGCCAAATATTGTCCTATCCTAACAAACCATACATCAATGGAAAGTTTATTTATTCAGCTTTCAGATGATGTATAAATCTCAGTTTCGAAAAATTGACCCTTATGACTGGTTTTGTGATCCAGGGTCACACACACACACACACACAAACACACACACACACACAC